CCATTAGATACTTATCGTTCTCTGCATCCTTATCGAGAAATTGGTCCTGATCTTATTAAAGAAGAAATCACAGTTGATTATCTTTTTTTCCGATTCCAAAAATTAAAGACACCAATCAAATCAACTTTATTAGAGCAAAAAATAATGAGTGGAATCGGTAATATTTATGCTTCAGAAATATTATTTGTCTGTAAAATTAGCCCTTTAAAACCCACTAATAAGCTTTCACAAGAAGAAATTAAAAAAATAATTATTCATTCAAAAATTATACTACAAAGAGCTATTGATTTAGGAGGAACATCAGTAGTGGATTTTGTTTCCCCCTTACGCGGAAAAGGTTCTTATCAACATGAGTTAAAGGTTTATATGAGAGAAAATAAACCTTGTTATGAATGCCAAACTTCTATTATTGCGGAAAGAATAAATAATCGTAACAGTTTTTTTTGCCCGCAGTGCCAAGCACTAGAATTATAAATTATTATTGTACTTTGAATTTTTAATAATTTATAACAAAAAGCACAAAAGTTAATTTTTTGGTCTCTTAAAATCTTCTTTATGGAGGAAGAGTTAAATTTAACTAATTTGTTATCAACTTGAAAAAAAATTACTAATCAATATGAAATCCCCTGAAAAAATTCTTTTCTTCAATGGGATTTACCAAACGATATTCAAGCTGATTTTGCTCTTACTTTAGCTTTGCCAATTTCCCACAAATTTAAAAAAAGTCCCGAAGAAGTGGTTCAGGATATATTAGAAAAAAGCAATTGTTCTAAATTAGATTATTCAATTACAAAACAAGGATATATTAACTTTCGACTTCCTAATGATTATTATCAAAAGTTTTTTAACGAAACGCTATCTAAGGAGGGTCAAAATCTTAAGGGCAAGGGGGATGATTTTCATATAAACCTCGAATATGTTTCCTCCAATCCCACTGGTTACTTACATTTAGCTCACTTTCGACATGCAGTAATTGGCAACACTCTAGCTCAAGTTTATCGATTCTGCGGTTATCAAATAACCCGCGAATATTACATAAATGATCGCGGTGGACAAATTACCTCATTAGTTAAATCAGTTTATCACTTTTATCATGAATTACAAAATTCATCTTTATCGAATTCAGAAATTATTGAATACTCTGGTTCATCAATTCAAGGAATAGCTAAAAAATTGATAGAAAAATGAGGAGATAAATATGTTAATAAAAAATTAAATAATGAAGAATTTAACTTTTGAAAAAAAGAAATTTTAGAATTAATTCTGACTAAAATTCGCCAAGATTTGGTAAAATGCGGAATTGAGTTTGATGTCTGATTTTCAGAAACAAGCTTACATGAGAACAATAAGGATAAAGAAATCCTCGCTGTTTTGGAAGAAAAAAATCTGACCTACTTTCAAGAAGGAGCTAAATTATTAAGAAGCAGTTCATTGGGGGATGAAAAAGATCGAGTAATTATCAAAAAAGATGGCGAATATACTTATTTTTTTTCAGATATTCTTTATCATCAAGACAAATTGAAACGGGCAGACAAAATAATTAATGTCTGGGGGGCAGATCATCATGGATATGTAAATAGAGTAAAGGCTGTTTGTAAAATTTTAGGTAACGAAAAACAAAGTGTGCAAATAATTTTGGTTCAGATTGTTAATTTGCTTACTGATGAGGGAAAATCAGCAAGATTTTCCAAAAGAGCCGGTAATACTATTGAATTAGAGGAAACTTTGAAACACATAGATATGGATCAATTAAAATTTTTTCTTCTAGAGAAAGAGCCCAATCAACCGCTTTTAATTAACATTGAGTTACTAAAAAAAAATAAAGAAAAAACTCGACTTTACTATATTCAATATGCCCATGCTCGTTGTTATCGAATTTTTCAAAAAGCACACGAAAAAGGCATGATTAAAATTGGCTCTAGTATTGATTTATTGGGAGAAAAAAATGAAAGAAAAATATTCAATTTGTTAATTCGTTTTTCTTTTATTCTAGAAAATATAATAGAAGAAAATAAACCCCATCATTTAATTAATTATTTGTACGAATTAGCTCAGGCTTGACAAATTTATTATCAAAACGGAGTTATTTTAGAAACAAAAAATCCTGAACTGACTGCCCAAAGATTACTTTTAGTCAAAAATATTCAAATAACTTTAAAATTAGGATTAGATTTAGTGGGAATATCGGCACCCAATATTATGTAATAAAATTATATATATTAATGATAAAAATATAACTGCGGGATTGGCGAAATGGTAGACGCACCAGGCTTAGGACCTGGTATTCGTTAGAATATGGGGGTTCGAGTCCCTTGTCCCGTACCAATTAGCAATTCATTATTATTAAAAATTTTTATTTGGAGTTTTGAATAAAGTTAAATTAAAAATTTTAATTTTTCTTGCTAGTTTGCTTTTAATAATCTTATTGAGTGTTAAATTAATCAAAATCAAAAATAAAATAACTAATCAAGAAAGCAAAAATATCAAATTTCCCTCAAAAATTGAGCCAGAACCAGATTTTTCTGATCCGGAGACAATTCCTCCAGAACCAGAGCCACCAACTCCTAAATTACCAATTACTAATCAACAAAAATTAATTAACGAATTAGAGACTATTAGTAATTCATTTGATTATTACAGCCCCCAGCGATATTTGATAAACAATTGCATTTTTCTTTTGAAACATCCCGATTCGACTTTTAAAAATAAATTAGAAAACTTAAAGGATATTTTAAACGACAAATGACCAGAAATAAAAATTTCAGAAACTGATAAGCGAAAATTAATTCCTTTAATAGAAAAGTAAAAAAAAAGAGCAAATATAAAAGAAAAAGATAAACTAAAATGCCCTTGATACCCTGAAAATATTTAGTAGATCATCTCGTTTTGTGAGATTATTTTCCTGAAAAATTAGGAGAAAAATTAACTTATCATGGTTTAGAAACAAAGTTAGTTGAAAAAGAAAAAAATATATATCTAGAATTCGATATACTTCCTAATCGCCCCGATTTGTTATCCTGATGAGGTATAATTAAAGAAATAGGAATAATATTAAATTGTCAAACAAAAATACCTACCTTAGTAAAAAATGAAAATAATGAGAGAGCAATTGAGGTAGAGAACAAGACTGAAGATTGCTCAAATTTTAATCTAGGGCTAATAAAAAATATCAAAATTAAAGAAAGCCCATCTTTAATAAAGGAATGATTAAAATTAAATAATATCAATCCAATAAATAATATTGTCGATATTATTAACTTAGTAATGTTGAAAAGCGGTCAACCACTTCATGTTTTTGATTATGATATTTTGCCAGAAAACAAAATAGTAATTCGCCAAGCTCATCGTGGGGAAAAAATAAAAGTTCTTAATAATCAAGAATTAGAACTTGTTCCAGAAGATATTGTGATAAGTTCAGGAAAAAAGATAATTGATTTAGCTGGAATCATTGGAACTCATGAAACTGCAATAACTACCCACACCAAAAACATCCTTATCGAATGTGCTTCCTTTAACTCTAAAATTATTAAAAAAACTGTCAAACGATTGAATCTTTCTACCGTTGCCAGTCGTTTTTTTTCTCGTCAAACTAACCTAATTATATCTCCTAAACAAGTACTTGCTTATGCTGTCTCACTTATTAATGAATCTTACCAAAAAACTTTAAATTCAGTAAATTTATTCTCCTACTGGGAGGAAAAAAAATCTCCATTGATAATTACTATTAATCAGGAATTTATTATTAAAAAAACCGGTCAATTACTAAATGAACAATTGATTGACAGCATTTGACAACAATTGGAGTTTTCTTATCAAAAAAAAGAAAAGTGTTATTATATTACTGTTCCCTTATCACGTCCAGATATAGTTGATCCCGAGGATTTATTAGAAGAAATATTACGTATCTATGACTATAATAAATTAATCGGTTCTCTTCCTGATGATTTTCCTGTCACCATTATTGATAAAGAAAAAAAAAAAAATGAGGAACGAAAAAACTCTCTTTGCTCTTATTTGATTAATCAGGGTTGACAAGAGATTGTCACTTGCTCTCTTATTTCTGAGGAAATGAAAAAGGATTTCGAGAAGGAAAATAAAAATCCCTTTCATCAACTTTTAATGCCTAAGAATGAGTACTACAAATACTACCGACAAAGTTTAATTCCTAGCCATTTAAAAACATTGAGTTACAATATTAATCGTCAGAATAAGGATCTTTTTTTTTTTGAAATTAGTTCGGTTTATGGACTTTCATACAAGGAGGATTTCCTTGTTCTCAGCGGAATAGGAAAAAAAATGAATCAACCGCTCCATAATCTAGTTAATGAATTAGACTTTTTCTGACTAAAGGGTACTTTGGAAAATATTTTTGAAATGTGGCGAATAAATTCTGAAATTTCTTTTTCCTCTAACCACTTTCTTTCTGCTCAAAGTGCTGAAATATTTTTTAAAAAAGAAAAGTTAGGATTTCTAAGTCAAGTCAACCCATTAATAACCAAAAAATATCAAATTGGTGATAGAACAAATTTTGTAGCTCAAGTTTCATTAACCAAAATTTTTGATTACCTTAACAAACATTTATCTAAATTACATTATCAACCAATTTCTAATTTTCCAACTAGCGAAAAAGATTTATCATTTATCTTTTCTCATGATGTAAATTATAGTGAAGTCATTAAAGAAATCAAAGGAGTGGAAGAAAATCTTCAAGAAGTGAAGGTTTTTGACATCTACCAAAAAACAGAGTTACTAAAAGAAGAAAAAAAATCAATTAGTTTTCATTTAGTTTTCCAAAGTCTAACCAGGACGTTAGAAAATAAAGAAATAGAAAGGATGTTAAAAAAAATTGTTGAAAATGTGGAGAAAAAATTTGGAGCAAAACTAAGGGATTAATAAAAAAAGCATAAAAATTCTTTCAATGCTTAAAATTATTTAATGTATTTCGATTAACTCCCTTTTCTTTTATGTAATATTATACTTGGTTAAAATGCAGTAAAATTACGCCCGTAGTTCAGTGGATAAGAATATTTGACTTCGGATCAAAGGGTCGGGGGTTCGAATCCTCCCGGGCGTGCCAAAATAAAAGTAGTGTGTAATTTCAAGGAATTTCATTAGTTTTATTTTGGTTATCTAAACCTTTACTTACTCTATCAGAGACTAATTTAATTATCTCTGAACCTTTTTTATTTTCTCTTTTTTAATTTTGTTTTTTTTGTTGGATTTTTTGTGTTTTATTTTTTTTCTGTTCTTATCAAACAAAGTTCGCCATTGCTGGCTCTCTTTTCTGTTTGTTTTTTAACCATCAGAGTGAACGATAAACAGCAATCAAACATCTTTCTTAAAAACCTAATTAGCAAGAGTTCTTAAAGAAGCAAATCCATTCTTTTTATCATCCCAAAAGCAAGTTATTAAGCATTCTTTTGGTCTTAGGTTCTTACGAACCACGACACCAAGAAAAAAGACCAAGAACTATTTTTACAATAGTCTCCCAATTCTTACTACTTATAAATCACTGCTTAGGATAGAAAAGACCCCAATCTCAATTTTTATAAACCAGCGAAGCGGATGCTGAGCCGATAAATAGAAATTAGGAGGGAGACCAAGAATGGTAGCGGAACAAGCCCCAGCTTGTGTAGCGTAATCTATAACCAATAGAAATATTGGCAGCGAAGCATTTTCTCAAAATGCGAAGCGTAGATATATCTTGGGGAGAGGAATATATTCTTACAGAATATTATAAATCTCCTCACTATCCCTCCTTGATAGAGAAAGAAAATTTAATAAAAGAAAAGAGTTTGTCAGAATTCTTTATAAGAATTATCAAAAGCAAAACTCTCCTTACAGCCTTTTATGAACCAATCAGAATACTCCGCCAAATTCACTATCAAGGACATTGAACCTAAAACCGATAAAAACTTCAATTCCTATTTTTTACTCCACTTCGAAAACAGTAATTATCAAAAAGGCTATGCTTTCAAAAATACCCTCAATTCGGAAACTTGAACTAATCTAAATGAAAGTCCTTGAAAGTTAGTTAATCAAAGAGTCAATATCACTTACTCACTTAATCAAATCCTTAACTACACTTTTTGTCAAGTAAAGTCCATTAGTCTAATTGAATAACATGAACTTTTTAACTCTCTTTGCCATTATTCTATTGGCAAATTTAATCTCTTTTCTAATTTTCCTCCTTTTACTCTACTATCTACTTCCCAAACTCCTACTTCACAAATTAAAAAACTGATGAACCAAACTCACCAACCCCTTCGCTTAACACAATCGCCTCTTTTGTTAAGATAGGCTAGGAAAAATCCAGCAATTCTTACTCTAACTTAACAAAATCATCACTCCCAACTTAACATTTTTAACTGACTAACAAAAAAACTAAGTCTGAACAATTTTTTTAG